CTCTAAAGGACCCTGGTCGAAGCACTGGGTCACGGTCACCATGCCAACCCAATGGGAGTAGGTCACGCATGCGATGGCTGCTGTCCATTTTGGCACTTGCTGCGCCAAATAGAAGTCTTGCCGGGTGTGCCAGCCTATGACAGACGCTTACCAGACCGTCTATAAACATTTCTGGTTGGGAGTTCATTGTGATTCTGGCTGTGATCATCGTCCTGACTGTGACGTTAAATAATTCCTAAAGAGATGGGGGCGCTCTCAATATTCCTCCTGATCAGCCAGATCACATGGACAGAAAGGCTCGTCGCCGTACGAGGGTAAATAAGAGTGGTTGGGCTGGCTTGCTCGGTTACGACTTGGGCACAGGGGTGGGCCGACATACACACGAAGACACTGCTCGCTCAATGATGCTTACCGGTATGTTGGATTGAGGGGAGGGTAGGTTTTAATTGGTGCTCAACTGTATACACAACCATACCCACTCATCATACATCTGCTACATGGTCTTTTTGTGCTCTTGATTAGTTGGTGGACAGACTGCTAACACCTCACAGACAAAATTAGATTAGGACTGTTGTATGCTACCATAGCCAGTTCTGTCTAATGCTGCTGTAAGTGAACCAATCAGTGTACATCTAGACTATGTAGACAATCTGTTGTGAATGTTGTAGACATGCCACTTGATCGGTACAGTAGGGAACCTGCCGGACACAACTATTTTTAGAAAATTAGGTTCCGGTCAGACACAAGCTGTGGTAGGATTCCACTAGGGGATTCTAGTGCAGATAATGTTTGCCTAACTCATGAGCGGATCAAACGTTGATGAGGGTGGAGTTGACGACAGGAGACTAATACGTGCATGGGCACTTAGAGTACCGCACGTGTTCCAGGCCCTACAACAACAGGGAGACGAAAGACGGCTTCGTGTCGAACACAGAGCCCGTGCACTAGCAGCAGCTAGGGAAACAGCAAATGCCGCAGCTAGGGAACAGGCTGCCGCAGCAGCTAGGGCAGCAGCGACTAGCTCAGCAACATCCTCTGCGGCCTTGTCTGGGACCAATGGGACCCAGTTGGGAATGCCAAGAGGGTTCACGGTCACTTCCAGTTCAATGGGTTCTAGACAGTCTACAAGTCAAATGGCGGGCTCGCTGTTCAGCCCGTTGACCCCACGCGAGAGGGAGATTAGAGAACTCCAACAGGTCGAAAGGATCCGTGAACAGTTAGAGAGGGATCTGAAAAAAACTACCGACAGAGAAAGAGAGATTAAAAATAGAACCGCCAGGCTTGATACTTTAGAGGCTGACAAAGCTGAGCTAGAGCGCTTGGATGACTCTGGGATGAATGAGCCCATGAAAGTATTGAGGAACAACATGCTGTCGCTGCATGCGCATGTGGACAGCAGGTTGGACTTTATGCAGAGCACTCTAGACCAGATCCTGGACGCTTTGACAAGGCCAGGATTTAGGCCACCAGCACAATCGCCGTTGCCGTTATCGGCGATGTCAGGCCCCTTTCCAATTCAAGCTGGTACACAACCAAGTGGTACGTCTGCAACAGTCGCACAGACTGTTGCATCTTCTTCTTCGGGTCCAGCGGTGGGAGCTACACCACCGCAACAACCTGTTCAACAATCTGGACAGCCGCAGGGTCAATGGTATCCTAAGACCCCAATGAAACCGCCTCTTGCCTTCTTAGGCGAGAGAAAGGACGAAGAGCTCAACACTTGGTTGAGGTCAGTTCCGGTTTGGGTGAAGGCCAAGAGGACCTTGCTGGAGGACGAAGTGGTTACCGCTGCATCCTACCTTGAAGGTAAGGCAGCCAAATGGCTAGATGGACTAGTTATAAAGGCCGGGTATGGGCGACGCATGGCGGACTGGGCTAAGACTCTAACGTTAGACCAGTTCATGGAGATGGTAGAAGCTACGAGTCGATGGCATAATCCACAGGAGGCACAAAGGGCCACTGATGCCATTAACAAACTAGACCAACGAAAGTTCAAGTCGGTTAGAGAGCTTACGACTACCGTTGAGAGCCTGATCCTCGTTCCAGGCATTAACTACAGTGACCAGTTCATGTTAACTACGTTTGTCAGATGTCTTCCAGAGAACATCAGAAACTTACTGATCAGCGAGGCACGCACAGAGTACCATTCGTTTGAAACACTGTCTAGGAAAGCCTTAGATTTGGAAGCCACACTAGGCAATGCTCAACCAACCTCACAGATTGACACGAGGAAGAAGAAAAGTCCTCAGGAGTGGAAGAAGAAGGGGGCTAAGTTGATGATGGTTGAGTCCGATGGGACTCAAACGGAGATCGACGAGCTCACTGACATGATGGACTATACAGAGTTTGATGGCGAGGAGGTAGCTGAGGGTAGCACCCTTGCCGCGGTAGTCAAGACTAAGGCAGGTGGCCGAGGGAAGGGCCAACCTAGGAGTCAAGGAAAGGCCGCCTCCAATCAGACCAAGCAGGCTGAATGGGTGAAGGCAGGTCTTGACCAAGACGTGTGGCGTGACCACCGAGTGTGTGGCGCTTGTATCAATTGCGGGGAATACGGACACTCGCAATACAAGTGCCAAAACGCAAAGGTTACGCAAAAGATACCTCCAAAGATGGGGGCATCCTATTCCCAGGCTTCTAGCTCGGGAAACGCGTGAGGCCAGTGGAAGTTTTAGCGGCTTCTACTCAAGATGACGTGGGCTTGATACCCTCCCCACTTCATGACAAGGCCGAAGCTAATGACTCCTTAGCCACCACACAGACACAACTAGACCAAACTATGCTTTGTACGTTAGATGTGTGTGAGGCCTTAGAAGACTTAGAAGGTGAGTGGTCAAACAAGGACCCTCGCGAGTCTTGGGTGGCACTGAAGAAAGGTCCTAAAGGGGAACATTTCGTGGTGGAAGTGGATGTAGGAGGTCGCAAATGTGGTGCCTTCATAGACATCGGATCCACGCGAAATTACATAAGTCGCGACTGTTTGGAAAGGCTGCACCTACAGGACCGGGTACGACACCTAAGTAGACCGGTAGCATCAACTTTGGCCAACAAGGAGCGCATGATAGTAACAGACTATATCAAGGACGTAGTCTGTACCTTCTCCTATGGAGAAGGCGAACTTAACCATAAGATCTCGTTCTTGGTTAGCGACGACTTACCATTCGACATGTTATTAGGCATGTACTACCTCGAAGTTGCTAAGCCCCAGTTTGACTGGGATAAGAAGGTGCTCAAGCATAAGTTGCCCGATGGCCGAACTGTCAGATTGACTAAGTTCAAGGCCAGTAGCATTATAGATACCTATGGCTGCTTGTGCGCATCAGCGTTCTACAATTATTACAAGCAAAACGAAAAGGAGGGTATGTACCTTGTGTATGTCTCTGAGAAAGGGGAGGCCGTTAAAACACCCCCAGAGATAGAACGCGTCGTTGCTAAGTTCTCTGATCTGTTCGAGGAGCCCACAGGAGTTGTTGAAAGGGAAGTCGTCCACGCTATAGAAATCATTCCAGGGAGTAAAACCCCAAAGGGAAGGATCCATAGGATGGCCCTCGCCGAGTTAGATAAACTTCGGCAACAGCTTAAGGAGCTGACAGAGAAGGGATGGATCCGGCCTAGTACTTCCCCTTATGGATCACCCGTTCTATTTGTACTAAAGAAAGGGGGTACTTTGAGGATGTGCATTGACTATAGAGGCCTCAATATCATCACTGTGAAGAACGCAGAGCCTCTACCTCGCATAGACGACCTATGGGATAGGGTGCAGGGATGCAAGTACTATAGCAAGATAGACTTGAAATCCGGATATCATCAGATCGCAATAAGACCTGAGGACCAACACAAGACAGCCTTTCAGACCAGATACGGCCTGTATGAGTTTGTAGTGATGCCCTTTGGTCTTTGCAATGCGCCGGGTACATTCCAGCACACTATGAATCGGATCTTCCATGACCATTTAGATAAGTTTGTCGTGGTCTACCTAGACGACATTCTGATCTTTAGTAAGTCTGTCGAGGAGCATGCGTAGCATGTTGAGACGGTACTTTCACTCCTTCGACAGCACAAGTATAAGGTCAACTTAGAGAAGTGTGAATTCGGTCGCACTAAGATACTATACTTGGGTCATGAAGTATCTGCGGAAGGGATTAGGTCGGAGGATGCGAAGGTGGCTAGTATTCGAGACTGGCCACGACCTCAAACAGTCACCGAGGTTAGATCATTCTTAGGAATGTGCGGCTACTATAGAAACTTCTTTCAAGAACTATTCTACAGTCGCCTCTCCTTTGACTGATCTAACTCGACTTGACACACCGTGGGACTGGAGTGATGAGTGCGAGGGTGCTTTCAAGAGATTGAAGCATGCACTCATGAATCAGGAGGTCCTCATGGTTCCTGATCCTCAGAAGCCATTCATAGTGACCACTGACGCAAGCCAATACGACATTGGCGCAGTGCTGACTCAGCGGGATGGAAAAAAGTTGAGACCGATTGAGTACATGAGTAAGAAGATGCCATCAAAGAAGTTGGCAAAATCCACCTACGAAAGGGAACTCTATGCTCTGTATAAAGCACTTGTCCATTGGAGACACTTCCTATTGGGAAGGTTCTTCTACCTGAGGACTGATCATCAGACCCTCAAATGGATCAAGTATCAACCGGCTCTTTCTGACGCACTCAAGCGATGGATTGAGGTCATAGACCAATATGACTTCAAGCTTGAGTACTTGAAGGGAGAGTACAACAAGGTTGCGGATGCGCTATCCCGTAGAGCAGACTACCTAGGTGCGCTAGTTTTTGACTTTGGCGTATCTGACAAAGTAACTCAATCATTGGTGGGAGCCTATCAGGAAGACCCTGTCACGATGGACATCATGCACAAACTTCAGGCAAAAGACAAGGCCACGGAAAGTGAATTTGTGATGGTGGACGGGTTACTCTATCTTGATAAGGCAGGAATAAAAAGGTTAGTAGTTCCATCTAGTGAACGTTTGCGTAGTTTAGTTTTAGGCGAATGTCATGATGCAACCGGGCACTTTGGCTACAAGAAGACGAGTGCTAACTTAGTACAGCGATTTTGATGGCCTGGTATGTTTGATGTCGCGAAGAAGTACGTAGAGACCTGTCAGTTCTGTCAGCGGGACAAGCCGCGAACTCAAGCACCGCTTGGGTTGTTGAAGCCTTTGCCTATCCCTGCTGGTCCAGGACAGAGTGTCTCCATGGATTTCATGGACACCCTGGTGACTAGTAAGAGTGGCAAGAGGCACATCTTCGTCATCATTGACCGATTCACCAAGTACGCTAGACTAGTGGCTATGCCAGAGACCTCAAGAACTGACTACGTCATCAAGTTGTTCAAAGACAACTGGGTGCGTGACTTTGGTTTACCAAAGTCAATCGTTAGTGACCGAGATGTCCGATTCACAAGTGAATTGTGGAAGAAGACTGCAGAACAGATGGGCAGTCAACTTCAAATGACTTCAGGGAATCATCCCGAAGCCAACGGACAAGCCGAACAAATGAACAGAGTTGTACAGCACTTGCTGAGGCATTACATCAAGCCCAGCCAAGATGATTGGGATGAGCAGTTGCCTCTCATCGCTTGCCTGTACAACAATGTTATCCATGGCAGTACCGGCGTTAGTCCTAATCAGTTGCACTTGGGATGGAAGCCTAGATCAGCACTACACTTCCTTCTACCTGAAAACTGACCCGCTGCAACTCTAGGCACACTAAAGTATGGTGTGCACTATGAAAAGTTGTTGCAAGAGGCTGTCGAGCATATGAAGAAAGCTCAGCAAGCAATGATTGCTTCTGAGAATCAACATCGTAAACAGTCCACATTTCAGGTAGGGGAACGAGTCTGGGTCAAGGCTAGTGAGTTAGGACAGGAAATCGGAATCTCTCGCAAACTAATGCCTCAGTACTTTGGTCCCTGGGAAGTCCTGGATATAGTGGGAGAAGAGATGGATGGTCCCACATATGTCATTCGTGTCCTTGGACACCTACGCACTCACCCAGTCTTTCATGCCTCAAAGCTTGCACCTTTCGCTGAGACAGATCAATTCCCTTCCAGGAGATCGATGTTGCCCCCAACCATGGATGGACAAGTGGACATCGACGACATTGTGGATCACAGGGATATGCCTGTTCCGAAGCCGCTGGGTCGAGGAAGACCTCCTAAACCCAAGAGAGAGTACCGCGTCAGATTCAGGCATCATACGCATCCAAAAGAAGATCGGTGGTTTACAAGGGAGGAATTGATTGAGACAGCTCCTCAGGTGGTGGCAAAATATGAGAGGCTACTAAAAGAGAAGGCACCTGCGAAGTAAGCATCTCAGCGGACTTTCGAAGCTAAGGGGGATGGAATGTGAGGATTGAGCCCTCAAGTAGGGGCCTTGCCATGATGTA